GCAACTATGGGCCAGTATTCAATGAATATAGTTTTATGGCTTTTGTTTTAAAGCACACTAAAAATGGTGTGCTGATAAACCCCAATCAAATCAACCTTGTCTCCCATATAAATCCCTTTTTTGTTTTGAAGAGGGGAAATTATATTTATTGTGGTTACTGAGATCTCATGTGAAAACATATCAGATATGTATGAACTGCTACTACTGTATTTACAATTTATGGACTTTATTTTGTTGATATCTGTAGAGGTGGTGATATGAACATGAATACCTATTTATGTGAGCCTTCTGTGGATGACTAATTCCACAGAGGGGCTTATGTTTTTCCCCTCTCTAATTTTAAGTAAATTGACTTATAACTACTATCATTAAAAATGAAATAAGGAAACAAGAATTCCTGTTTGCTGCTAAATAACCTTTTCAAAGGAAAAATGGCAAAATAAAAGCTTTTTACTTTTTATGATATTCAGAAATTAGGGTGGAGAACTTTTATGAAATCCCTGAAGATTAAAGAGGCATCTCAGCCCATCACAAGTGTGGTTGGAGTCATTTTGGGTCTGACTGGAATCCTGATGGAACTGTTGCTCCAATCTCACAAGCCCTGCAAATGATCAGAACTATGCCTATATTTATCATTTTGAAATAAAATCAAAATTTCAACCTGTAATTTTATCCACTTTTTCTAGTGACTTCCTAAAGTTTGTGGGTAAGCAAGATGGGAGAGGAAGGGCAGTCAGCAGAGATGAGTTCCTCTCTGCGCCAGGCTGCTGTTGGTGGGTATTCACACAGAGCACTGTGGGTCCGGGAGGGCAGCAGGCAAGGGGGTGCGAAAGGAGCCTGCTGAGGAAGCATGTCCAGGTAGGAGATTCCTGGTAAGAGAAAGCTCAGCACTCTGCTAGAAATTACGGAGTGAATAACACAGAGTATCCATATTTCCTCAGCTGCTGCTCTTCTGATTTCTGAATGCTTAGCTTGACTGAGCATCAAATCCTTGGTCCACTTTCCCTGGAAAACCCATTAATATGGTTCTGTTTAGTACTATTTTATTTCTGAAGACAACCTAATTTTTGTTCCTTGTAGAAACAAATTTTTCCGCTTACATGTTTATTTTGTTTGTTTTTGTACCACACTTTGTGGTGCTCAGGGGTTACTCCTGACTCTGCAGTCAAGGATCACTCCTCACGGTGCTCAGGGGACCATATGGAATGCCAGGGATCAAACCCAGTTTGGCCGCATGCAAGGCAAACGTTTGTCCTACTGTACTACCGCTCTGGTCCCTCTGCTTAGCATGCGTCTACGTTTATTTATCCTTAGAGCATTCATATCTTGTTTGAAACAAAAGTGAATCTACCTAAGATTTTTGTTTTAATTTGAAATATTCCAGGGGAGAAAGGATGGACTACAAAAAAAAAAAAAAGAGTTCTACCAGAGAAGACAGTAAAAAGGTTAAGAAGGGTTAAAGCTCCTGCCTTGCATGAGACCATCCTGTCTAAATCCCAGCACCACATGCATTCCTCCCAAGCACTTCTTAGCACAGAACCAAGAATAGCCCCTGAACACTGCCAGACTCCTCTCAAAAAAAGTTTCATCTTTTCTTAATGTTTTGTATCATTTTTTTCTTTACTGCTAGAAAAAACCTCCAGATGATTGACTTTTAGTGTCATTGAGCTGTTTTGCTGTTTCTAATATAAATCTTGTCCTTGCACTTAAAATTTCCTTGAACTTGCACCACCTGCAATTCTTAATGTCTTTTTATAGAAACCTTGTTTCTTTGTACCTTTCAAGGATGTTAAAACTACACATTCTTCTGCTTTCTGTACTAGATTCTGCCCAAGGTATTGGGGCTTTTTCAGGGCCTCACACTAGGACTAGGACCATCATTTACTAGCAGACATAGAGGATGGATGCCCTCAGCTTTCTGCTCCCACCTTTTAGATACCAGTTAATATCTCCCTTTCTGCCCCAGCTAGGACACACGAGTGCATATGTCTGATCTGTCTGTGCCATGCTGAGTCTAGTTCGCAGCCCAGAGCTATCTTGCAGGTACAGCTGGCCTGTTTTTTAACAGACTTCACAAATGCCCCACTGCCAGGGTTCGCTTTTCTTCCTCTTAAAACAAAAATGAAATCTTGTTTACAGCCCCATTTTACACTTTTTAATTCCTTGCTCAATGAACATCACTAGCGTGTACACTTAGCGATCTCATTAAAATGTACTGAGATAACTTCAGTTTATTCCTCTAAATGTGTTTCACAAATGCTTCTATTAACATCTTTCCCTAGTGGAAAAAATCCTGGGTAGGTAACTCAATAGGGTTCAAGGTATGGTAAAATGTTTTGAAAATCTAACATTTAGTCCTCATAAAACAAGATGTACTATATTCTTTGAAAGCAGTTGTATTTGGAGAGCAAGAGACAAGAAGCATACACTTCAGAAAGTGGAGTTCCAGACTTAACTAGAGCCTGGATCTGCTGCTGAATATGGCAACCTTCCCCCAGATGGTTTGGTTCTTCCGTACATACCTGCCCTGCTAGAAAATAATGAACAGTAAGTTCTCAATAGAAAAACATTGAAAATATCTAGAACCCTGACAGGAAATAAAAGTTTAGTGTTGGGCATTTCCCCACTGTAAATGACTGTTATTCCAGAATTGGTGTAGTGAAATGAAAGTGATCGCAGCTTACAATTCCTTCAGCATTTCCCACACCCTCATCACTTGGACACTGCAGGGACAGCTGCTACTCTGAGATAACAGAGCCCGCAGTTCTTAGTCATGAAGACTGCTAACATACCAACGTATCTCAGGGACTTATGCCAGTCCAGTTTCAAATAACCATCAGACACTCCCATTCACTGATCAGCTGTTTATGTGAGTCAGCACTTATACGCAAAAGAGCTAAACAAGTTGAAAATTCAGATCATGTTCACTTTGTGGGCGTGGTCCCATCTCGGCCAACCTAGCTAGACAGTTCAAAACCTGGGCCTCCCTTGCGAAGAATTCTTACCCGTGCTTTGGTGTGTTTTATAGAGCTGGTGTTTAGAAGATTTTTGGCTTTCCTTTGAGCAGTAAATTGCACTGAATTCTCATCCTTCCTAGCGTTGCACACATCACCTCTTTCTCACTGCCATGCATGCACAGGCTGAAACATTTATTATCCCTCGCCCACCTACAGGTCACAGGGATCATAATGAGGTGCAAGACGGGTCTGGGCAGATGTATACCTAGTACTGTGGCCCTGCAGACCTGTCTCATGATACCTGACAGTGAAGTCTATCGGGCTGTTTTGTTTTGGTTCTTTTGCTTGTTGGGTCATACCCAGTGATGCTCAGGGGTTACCTCCTGGCTCTGCACTCAGGGATTTCTCCTGACAGTGCTTGGGGGATCATATGGGATACCGGGATCAAACCCAGGTCAGCTGTATGCAAGGCAAACGCCCTACCTACTGTACTATTGCTCCGGCCCCACAGTCTGTAGGTTTAAGGGAGCTTTGTAATGTATCACGTAGTCTTTCTTCTAAATTAAATAAGGGCCTGAGCAGTCAAAATGCCCCCGCCAGCAGCTGGGAGAGAATCATCTTACAGGTGCAGCCTTTTAGCAGGGAGAGAAGTCTGCACCTGGTCTTGCAGACGGGCTCTCCAGAGAGAATTAAAATGCTCAGAAACGTTTCTCTGGCGTCCTACCCACAGCAGAGCACTGAAAGTCTCCAGGAAGCTCCACACAGCTCTGCTGCCCTTTTCCCGCTAGCACGTGCAAAGGAACCCCACGTCCACTACAGCGTGTCACAGCGGGGAGAACACCTGGATCAGGCTGGGCCACCTCCTCCCTGGAGCTGTCAGGCTTTCCTGCACCAAGGTCTGCTAGACCACCAGGACTCGCTAGGTGAGGGTTCGCTCAGCCCCTGCGGCGCCTGCATGGGCTCTGCTCACGGCGGCCAGCCTGGCCCAGGAAGACCTTACCAGGTGGGCCGCGGCAGAGGCGGGCACGCGCTTCGTGGCCAGGCCCAGCAGAGGCTGCACGCTCTACGTACCCAGACCTCCACCGAGGCGGGCACGCACCCCGTGCCCAGACACAGCAGAGGCGGGCGCGCGCCCCGTGCCCAGACCCAGCAGAGGCGGGCACGCACCCCGTGCCTAGGCCCAGCAGAGACGGGCAAGCACTTCGTGCCCAGGCCTATCAGAGGCGGGCACGCGCCCCGTGCCCAGGCCCAGCTGAGACGGGCACGCGCCCCGTGCCCAGATCAGCAGAGTCGGGCACGCTCCCCGTGCCCAGGCCCAGTAGAGGCGGGCGCGCGCCCCGTGCCCAGATCAGCAGAAATGGGCACGCGCCCCGTGCCCAGGCCCAGCAGAGGCGGGCACGCGCCCTGTGCCCAGACCCAGCAGAGGCGGGCACGCGCCCCGTACCCAGGCCCAGCAGAGACGGGCACGCGCCCCGTGCCCAGGCCCAGCAGAGGCGGGCACGTGCCCCGTGCCCAGATCAGCAGAGGCGGGCACGCGCCCCGTGCCCAGGCCCAGCAGAGGCGGGCACGCGCCCCGTGCCCAGACCCGGAGAGGTGCCGCGCGCCCGTGTCGCCGTGTCCCTTGATCATGGGGAGCCGCAACGGTGCCCAGGGTTCCCTGGCTGTGACTCAAGGGCCCCACGGAGTGCGTGCTGGAACCGGGTCGCAGCGAGCAGGGGCAGCGCCAAACTGCCCTTCGCTGAGGGCGGCGGCCAGGTCCCCACGGGTCCAAGGTTCGCAGCTTTCGACGTCACTGGGGGCAGAACTGTCCTGGCCCGCCCTCCGGCTGTCACTCACGCCGTCTGTCCAATGGCGAGACCGGAGAGGCCCGACGCCATTGGGACGACGGGTCCCGCGGCCCGCCCTCCGGCTGTCACTCACGCCGTTTGTCCAATGGCGGGGCGAGGCGGGGCCCGACAGCTTTGGAGGTCTCTGCCGCGGCCCGCGGCCCGCCCTCCGACTGTCACTCACGCCATCTGTCCAATGGCGGGGCGGGGCGGGGCGGGGCCGCTGTGCGCGCAGCCTGTGGCGTCAAAGCGCCCGCGGTGTCCATGGAGAGAGGTTGAGGTGGCCTCGCTCCGGCCCGAGCACCCGGCGCGCCGCGGCGACCATGTCGGCGTCGTTAGTCCGGGCCACCGTCCGGGCCGTGAGCAAGCGCAAGTTGCAGCCCACGCGGGCCGCCCTGACTCTGGTGAGCGGAACGCTCGGGGGGTCCGTAGCCGTGCGGTCGGCGGGTTCTGCGACAGGAGCCCGCGGGTCGGCCCCGAGGGCAGCGCTGCGGCCTCTGCGCCGAGACCACGTTTCCCAGCAGGCACTGCGGCCGCGCGGCGGAAGTGCGCAGGCGCAGGCGCGCGCGCGGCCGCTCGGCCTCCGCCACCCCGGACTGGGCCCGTCGTGGCGGGAGTGCGCAGGCGCGTGCGGACGCTCGGCTACTGCCTCGGACAAGGACGGCGGGCTGGGTGTGGGTGACGGGTCACGCCGCTGCGCTGGCCCTCGTGCAGGCCCCGACTGGTCTGCAGCGCCTCCCCGCCGCCCCGGGGAGCCGCGGGCCGTCCACGTCGTCCTCCCCGGCCCCGCACCGGGCTCGCTCTCACTGCGGGTCGTGCTGCCCGGTCAGCCTGGTCAGGGAGTTGGTGCCCGGTACGCCCCCGCCCAGTCCCCGGGCGTCTCGCCGCAGCCCTGCTGAGCGCGTTTCCTGCGCAGAGCTGCTCTGCTCCCTGGCTTCTTCCCGACTGATGGGAGTCGGATGTGTGATCGCCGCCTCCCGGATGGCCTCCAGGAGTGCCCTGCGGGCCCTGATGCGGGAGCCAGGGGGAGGGCCAGGCCAGCACTGTTGCCTGCCGCTGGCCTCCGGGACAAACTGAAGGTCATTTTGGTCCTTGAGTAGATCGTTGTAGTTTTCACAAGCCCTTTTTGGCCATAGTATATTCTGTTAAGGGCAAAAGCAGCACAAGGGCTGAACGAGCAGAGACAGGTAACAGTAGAAAAACTTCACAGCTAATTCAGTAAGACTGGTCAGAAATACATGTCAGCTCTATGTGTAAATGACATTGCAATGTTTACAAAGTGCATTGTGTAGCCGGCAAGACGCTGGGAAAGGAAAGCATCATTTCACTGTCAACAACTACATAGGTTAACATCAAACTACATTTTTAAGTTAACTGATGTTAATTTAGGAGAGGATGGTTGCTTTCAGACTGACTTCGATGACACTTTCATGCAAACCGGATCTGGTTCCTTGATTGAATGTTTTATAGGAATTTAGATCACTACAGTAACAAAAGTCTCCAATGGAGACGTTGCTGGGCCCGCTTGAGCAAATCGATGAACAACGGGAGGACAGTGACAGTGGCAGCAAAGTAGTAGAGAAACCTGTAGACAGTATCTGAGGAAATGAGGTTCCTCCTGCAATTCCCACCATACTCCAGCACTGGTTAATGTAGTCGAACTTGGAGTCATAGTGAAATGATAAACGGAGGATATGTTCATTATGTATACTGAGTGCCTTAGGACTTAACTAAAGTGGTATCTGGTTTAATACATCAGGGCTCAATAAGGCATTATTCTTCATTGAAGGGACTAGCAGAAAACCTTTGAACAGTCACTGTCGTTCAGTTCATTGGTTTGCTCAAGCGGGCACCAGTAATGTCTCACAACAAATTGTGAGACTTGTTACTGGTTTGTTTTTTTTTGTTGTTGTTGTTTTTGTTTTTTTTTTAGTGAAACACCATGAGGTATAGTTGTAGATTTACAAATTTTTGTGCTTGGGTTTCGATTATACAATGATCAAATACCCATCCCTCCACCAGTGCCCATTTTCCACCACCATGGATAATATCTCTCCCACCCCATGACTTGTTACTGTTTTTGGCACATCGAATATGTCACGTAGCTTGCCAGGCTTTGCCATGTGGGCGAGATACTCTCGGTAGGTTGCCAGGCTCTCCAAGAAGGCAGAGGAATTGAACCCAGGTCGGCCTCATGGAAGGCAGCGGCCCTACCTGCTGTGCTATTGCTCCAGCCCCTTTAAACAGTAACAAGTAAAAATGTAAATATGCATTTTAAGGTATAGCACACAGAAAGTCATTGGAAGTAACTTGACTGTCAACTGAGAGGTTGGTTAAGTATATTAATTTTACTGCATAATCATCACACATTTTTATGTATAAAAAGAATTAGACTACAACCATTATGAGAAGCCTTTTTTTTAAAAAGAAATTATGCTTATATTAATCATTTATTACCAAACTACCTTTGATGCAAGATTAGGATGCATGATATGCTCATCAACAGTTACACCGTGAGATAGAGTAGGTGTAGTTATTGAACGTAAGAATTTGTTTTGTTTGGGGCCAGGCCCAGCAGTGCTCAGTGCTTCAGGCTCTGCTCTCTGGGTTCACTCTCAGTAGTGCAGGGAACTCTCAGGGAACTATGTGGAGTGCTAGGTTTGAACCAGGGAAGGCGGCATGAGACTTAAAAACGCCCTGCTGTGCTATCTCTCCAACCCCAATAAGTTTTTTGTTGAAGTTTGGGACTCATAATTTCATTGCTTGTACTGTGAAGATTATTTTTTATTACCTTAATGATAGATTGTAAAAAGTAATAATGGTGCATATAAACAATCAAGCACATAGCAGGTACTCAGTAAATGGTAAATATGTATTATGATGTGTCAGATAAAAATAGATGTTAATCTTTTAGAATCTAGGCTATAAATTATGTGTGTTAGGGGGGTGGCATTGGGTACACCCGTGGTGCTCGGGACTTATTCCTGGCTCTGCACTCAGGAATTATTTTTGACTGGCGGAGATTAGAGGACCATCTGGGATGCTGGGAATTGAATTCAGTCAGCTTTATGCAAGACAAGTGCCCTATCCCGAGTACTGTCACACTGGCCCTGAATGTATGTGTGTTTATTGGTAAATGCTGTTTTTGTAGCTGAATATTTTATGTGCTCTGCTGTATGTAAGCATTGTGTATATAAAAATGTAAAATATAATCATAGTGTGTATAATAGGGAAAGTGCTCATCTTTGCCCTCTGCATTGGTTTCATAGTCTTTGTAAGCCAGCCACAGACTAGCAGAGCCCATCAGATGGGGCAGAAAACCCTACAGTATGGCTGTTCATGACTCTGTCGCCTCTGCACACACTTGGGTTTTGGAAGCGGGTGCTATTAGTGGCATATGTCTTATGTCACTCGTTGTAATTTCACAAACCATTAAAGGGACAGCACAGAGAACTTGGAGGACCAGCTGGCCACAGTAGTGAGAGCAGCTAAATCCACACAGTAAGGCCATGGTGCCTTCATTGTGATGTGCTCAGCTTTATATCAGTATCTGACTTCTCTTGGGCCCCTAGTGCCTTCCTCCCAGATATTTCCTCAGCACAGTTTAGTTCTGTTCACACAGGAAACAGGGTAGGCAAGCTAGGACATGGACCAAGAGTGCCCCAGGATAGACTTGTCCTGACAGCCCCCTCCCAGGTCAGGGATGAATGAATGTGATCTCGACACAGCATTATGCTGAGACTTTGTGATACTTTTTCCTCATTTTTGAGTTAGAATAAACTGAATTCCTCCAGAAAGACTCCTTGTTCTTGGATTGGGGGGAGGAGGCCACACCCCAGCAGTGCTCAGGGCTCACTCCTGGCTCTGCACTCAGAGATCACTCCTGGTGGGGCTCAGGGAACCATTCATGGTGCCGGCAAGCACCTCTCCACTGTGCTCACTCCAGCTATATCCTTGTTTTCCTTTTAATAGTTAATGCATGAACTTTGTTCTTAGGTACCGTGAAACAATATTTTAGCACATACAGGAATCTGCCTGCTCATTTGATAGAATTGGAAAGGAAACTTATTTTAAGTTGATGTTGTTAATACTCTTCCTTCTCCAAGTGATTTTTGATGGATTTAATAAATTTATTTGGGGTAAGCAAAAAACCCAATAATGGATCATCATAATCAACAAGAACAGTACCTGATGTTTGGTTTTTCCCAGTGAGATACAGGGTGATTTTTTTAAAATTATTTTGTTATTTGTGAAGCAAGGTAATTTCTGTTGAATGAAACTTACACATGAGGGGAGAGAAAGAGAGGAATTCATGTTCAAGAGAGAACTCAGGCTTCTCCAGAGTGGGGAAAAAAGCAGAGAAGTGTGTATTCTAGGGAGACATGACCTAAGAGAGCAAGCAAGCCAGCAATGGTGTTTTAACATTGGCTGCCGAACATCACTGCATCAGGCAGAGTACTATTGCTGGGCTGTAGTAAGAGCACAAAATTGATGTGGCCTGGAAAAATGTATTTGATATATATATGTATGTGTATATATATACACATATACACACACATACTGTAGGGCTTAGGACAGGGAGCTGATACAAAGGAGAATAAAATGAAAAGGACGCTGCTGGGGGAAGGTTGGTTTGTTTGAGGGTACAAGTGAAAGTGCTCAGTACTGACTCCATACTCAGGTGTGACCTCCCTGGTGGTGCTCTGGGTGCCATATGTGGTACCAGAGATTTGAGCAAGGGTTGGCTGCAAGCAAGGCAAGTACGTTATCTCCTATATTTGCTTGCCCCCTCCAAGAAATATATTAAGGATAGAAAATAGAGAATGCTTTGAATTAAGTAGAGTTCATGTATAGAATTCTTAAAGTTCTCTTGCAAGAACAGAATATAATTTGTCCTGTGAATTTGCTGAAGGTAGATTTGAATAATCATTAAGATAAGAAAATTAAAAATTTTGAAGAATGCAAGTTATATAACTAAAAGACCATGTTGAAGGTACTTGCCTTGCACACAGCTGATTCTGGTTCCGTCCCCTGTACTGCATATGGGCCCCGAGCACTGCTAAAAGTAATTTTTATACACTGCCAGGTGTGGCCCAGAACCATCTTAAACATAACTTAGTTTTAGAAAATAAAAGTTAACATGTTTTCTTTTTTCAGACACCTTCAGCAGTAAACAAGATAAAACAGCTTCTTAAAGACAAACCTGAGCATGTAAGTAAAAATCTATCGCAAATAGTAATAAAAAAAAAAAGAAACATTTTCATAAAGGATTGACTTTGCAGTAAAGAATATGCTTTTACCGATGAGTGATTTGAGGGGGGGCTTGCTCTCGGGTCACGTTTAACAGTGCTCCCAGCTCACTCCTAGTGGTGATCAGGGGACTGTGGCACTGGATGTTGAACCTGGCCTCTGGCATACAAACCACCTGCCCCAGCCCTTTGTGCTGTCTTACTGGACTGTCCTCTCCCAAGATTTTATCTACCTCCACCAGGGTGCCTCAACCTTAATACTTGCTGATTCTGTTGGGGATGGATTGCAGGATATTTAGTGGCATCTGGTCTCTACCACTCTGCTTGTGGCTCCTCCCCACTTGGAGTTGTATCAAACAAAAATCATCCTCTAAAGGGCACATCTGGCTTATTCTAGGTTTGTGCTTGTGTGTATGTGTGAGTTTTCCTGCTGAGAGGTGAGCACTTCATACGTGCTGTGCTAACCTTCTTTTGCCTATGATTGGAGATATTTGGGGAGGCTACACCCAGAGGTTCTCAGGGCTTACTTCTGGTTCTGTTTTCAGAAACAGTGAAATGGTGCTTGTGAAGTCATATGCAGTACAGACATTCCAAGTGGGGTTTTCAGTGTGCCAGGCAGACACCTCAACCCTGCTCACTCTCTCCAGCCCCTAGCTTGAAGAGCTTTCTATATCAATTCATAAAAATCTACCTCATTCTTTTCTATGACTTCATCTATTTCAAATCTGTTGAACAAGTTTGGTTTATATAACCAGCGGTTCTTAGTATTTCAAGATTGCCTCAAACACCATCAGCACACATTTAGTGTGTGGTGAAGCAGACACATTGTCCTAGTGTTTTCCTACCCAGCCTATACATGTATAGAGGTCTTGGTCCTAGATTAAAAAATTGAGGGGCTAAAGTGATAGCACAGCAGGTAGGGTGTTTGCCTTGCACACGGCCGACCCGAGTTTGATTCCCAGCTTCCCATATGGTCCCCTGAGCTACCACCAGGAGTAATTCCTGAGTGCAGAGCCAGGAATAACCCCTGTGCATTGCCAGGTGTGACCCAAAAAGCCAAAAAAAAAAAAAAAAGAGTGAGAGGTGTATCACCTTAATCTGATCACGTGGCTAATTCCTATCAGTGACTGTGAATTACTCCCAAGTGATAGATCACTGCTGCTTAGTAATCTAACTATGGTGGTTTCTAGGTTCCCATGGACAGCCCACCTTACAATGACAGTAGAGTTTCTACCATATTCACTTAAGCATTACTAAATGCTAAAGTACAGCAGAATGTCACCTCCATTCTTACAGTTAGTCTAGAGTACAAAGGAAATGAGCACGGGAGATCGAACTCAGAGGACTGTCCTACACCAGTTCAGTCCTTGTCACCACCAGGCTGACCTATGAAGGCGGCTACCATCGTAGACTAACAGTCCGTTGAGGTGCTGACCTGTGAAAGATGAAAATTTGTAAGTTCAGAAAAGACGTTAGCCTTAGAGATTTGAGGGAATATTTGTGTTGATAAGCGTAGAGTCTAGCAAATGCTTCATCGGGGGTAATGTATGGCCCATTCATCTCCTTTTCCAAACTCATTACGTAAAGGCACATTCTCACATACTCATTATGTTAGTCTATAAACATTCTTAACTAATGTACTTCCTGATTTCTCAAATCTTCCTTTTTATGAAGAAAAATGTGGAACACACACGTGCTTCAGAATTTCAGTGAGGCCGTTTATTTTTTCATTTAAAGTTTATCCCCTCAGTTTCCCCTCACACCCTCCAGTCACCTTGGCACGCTGGGCACTTGTCCTGGCCCCTGCTGCTGTGCTCACTGTGAGCAGGGCCGTCAGGATGGCCTCTGCACATACAGGCAGCAGGAGAATTGAGATGGTCAGTCTCAGGGACCGGAGCCATGGGACAGTGGGTAGGGCACTTGCCTCGATCCAGACCCAATACCCAGCACCCCACACAGTCTCCTGAACCCTGCCAGGATTGAGCACCAAGTCAGGAATAAACACAGTGGACATCTCGGTGTGGCCCAAAAACAAAGAAGACTTTGGAGTCTGGGCGCTGTCAGCCACAGAACTAACGACTGGTTACCACGCTGAATATGTAAGATTCCCTGCTATTCTATAAGCTGTTGCTCTGACAGCAAATAAAGCCATACTTCTATCGCCTTTCTCTTTAGAAAAAGAAGAAAACACAAATGTTTGAGCTTGTCAGAACTTGAGACACTTAACATTTTCACGCTTCTCATGTGCTTGCCACTTGTTTTCCTGAAACTAGCACATGTGAAGCTTTTCAGAGAATCGGTCTGCATTTTATGATTTATTTATTTATTTATTTAAGTTTTGCGGCCACGTTCAACAGTGCTCGGGGCTTACTCCTTCCTGGCTGTGTGCTTAAGGATCACTCCTGGTAGGAATCAGGGAGCCATATGCTTGGGGTTTGAGCCCAGATAGAGACTGCATGCTCGACAAGCATCCTAAACCTGTACTGTCTCTCTAGCCACAAAGAATATTTTTGAAAGTAAGTGAAAAGGCAGATAGGGAACAAGAGCAGAAGTTCAGTAGATTCTGTTAGAAAATTACATTAAGGGAGGCTATGATAGTCTCAAAGAGCTGTTTGGTCACTTTTAAAATTTTGCATGTTGACTTAGCTTTCAGGTTTTGACGATTTTCCTTCTCTCCCCCTTTTTTTTTTAATGTAATTGATTTTATTCTTCTTGGATTCCTACTAAGTGCTATGATGTTTATAGTTTTTTTTTTTGTTTTTGTTTTTGGTTTTGGTTTTTTTTTTTTGTTAAATATGTGATCCCTGGATCCCTGGTTCCCTGTTTGATATGTTCCATAAAGGGACATTTTTTTAACTAGATAGCTTATGTTTTTCCTTTCACTTAACAGAGTAAGTAATACTAATAATGAGGGTCAGCGATCTTAATATAGTTCTTTAATCCGTCCTGCTTAAAATTTCAGTTTACATTCAATGCTTTTTCAGGTAGGCCTGAAAGTCGGTGTCCGAACCAGGGGCTGTAATGGCCTCTCTTATACCCTTGAATATACCAAGACAAAAGGAGATTCGGATGAAGAAGTTTTTCAAGATGGTGAGTTGTGAGCAAACTTGCTGAGTCTAGAAATGTAATAATAGTAGGAGTGGCATAGACAGTTACAGCTTTGAGGATTGGAAGACTTCTAAGTAGTAACTGAATTATGCACAGGCTTAGGTTGAAAATGGAATGGAATTGAGCCCATTTTGCAGGTAAAGGAACTGAGGCCTGAAGAGACTAAATATTGCCTGAAGTCACAGCCTGTAATTGATCTTCTAAATAGTTGAATCCAGACAAATTCACTCCAAAGATTGTTTTTACATCTAAGTGTAAGATTAGATAAAACTTATTTCAATTATTTTGTGCAGGAAGATTTTTGTTTGTTTTCAGGGGATGGGTGGGAGGGAGTGTTTGGTATACCTGGCAGTGCTTGGAGGACTATATGTGGTGTTGGAGATCAAACCAGAACCAGAAACTCAGAAGGCCAGAGCCTGTACTCCCACACTGTTGAGTCCCACAGAAAGATTTTCAGATCCTAAATCTACTTTGGAAGGAGGATACCCACCTGGCCACTTGCGAGGGCTATTATGGCTGTAGCCCTGGTCTGCATGGGGTCCCTGAACCTGGGCCACCGCCATCCGCAAGGCAGGTACCTTCCCTCCTGTGCCCCCTGCAGTCTAACATGGTGCAGTGCCATGTGAAGTACACGGTGTCACCTGTCAGTGAGTGCTGTCATCTCACCCTGTAGGGAGTCTGTGTTTCTGGTCTTTATTAAAGACTCAGTTTTACAGGTCCAGGATGCAGTGCTTGAGAACTTGCCTGGCATATATGAGACTCTGGATTCAGTTCCCAGCACCATCAAAATAAGCGGGGAGATTGGGTGCTTTAATCATTAATTTGCTGCCACTCCCTCCCCTAGCCCAGTAATGGAAAGTGCCTATTTTACGTAAGATCCATAATCTTCAGCTTCAAAGCACTTCACTGCATGGAGGTTTTGCAGTGGGGACTCGTGTCTCAGGAGAGGTTTGCAGTTAGCTGACTTTCTGATTTTTAGCCACAGCTTCATTTCACTAACTTGAGGTTACTGAGGCAGTTAGTACTGTCTTTGAAGTCAGTACATCGAGTGTCTTAAGCCTTCACTCTTTGTTTTTAAAGAAGAGGTAGAATTTTGCATAGTTTCACACGGTTGCTTACATGGAGGAAAAGCGTTCCAGTGGCCTTTGCAGCCATGCGGCCCTCTCATCCTTTACACCACTGATCCACCGAGAGCAGCGTGCCACATTTGATGTGGTTTAAGGAGAAGACAGCCAACCTTAGGGGAAAATGTATTTATACAGATATAGATATATAAGCACACAAGGCTCAAACTTTTAACAGCACGTTACTGATCTCTTACAGAAGGGCTTAATGGCTCCTGGGTTAAATATAACAATCCTCACATACTTTCCTCCAAGGAAACTTTTTTGGACCATTATTAGAGAATTATTCTTACTAAGCAATACAAAGTAAAGTATTTCAGTTCTGCTTTGGGGGCAGGGTTTGGGTTTTGGGATTAAAACATTCGAAATATGGTGATAGGAAGGTATAATGGTGATGAGATTGATGTTCGAATATTAAATGTAATTAAATATTGTGAACAACTTTATTAAAAATAAATTAAAAAATAAAATAACTCTGAATAATAATATTTTTTAAAAGAATATACCAGTTGCTTTAACGTAGCTGCCAGCCTTTTCCTCCACATTACCAGGGACTTGTATTGTGAATTTTCTGCCTATGAGGGAACAGAACTTCTATTATTGGTCTTTACCGAACTGCATGCTTTGCCAAGAAGGCACATAATTGGCCCAAGTTAATTGTTTTTGTATGAATTATTATGTGAGAAAGGAGATGAACAGGGCTGAACACTAAAACCCTTCAAAGAAACCGAGTTAGAAACTTCCTCTCTGATTTTCATCTAATGGTAACTATTTAAAGTTTACTGTGCTTTGAATTATTTTCTGTAAAGCCTGCAGACTCTACATAACACATGATCTTTTTTCCCCCAGGAGTAAGAGTATTCATTGAAAAAAAAGCACAGCTGACACTTCTAGGAACAGAAATGGACTATGTTGAAGACAAATTATCCAGTGAGTTTGTGTTCAATAACCCCAACATCAAAGGCACGTGTGGCTGTGGAGAAAGCTTTAATATCTGACGCCACAGACTGGCTCTGGCCATGCATTCCGGAAGGAGACCCAAGGCTTGCCGACACTATCATGTGATTGCCACCCACTTAAGGCTTCTAAAGAGTCCTCTGAGGAAATAAAGTGACGCATTTGAAAACAAAACCGGTGTATTTGTCCAGGGGACAGAAAACGCCCGCTAGTGCTCTCTGGGTCATGTTTCTGAGTTGTCAGAGGGAAGCCTGACCCTTTCTCATAACTCTCTGTGTCTTTTGTGTTAGAACCAGTTGTGTAAGAGTCGCTTTCCTTGGAGAATTTTAAGAAACATAAATAACTGGTTTGTGCTCAGTAGTGTTCAGTGGCCAGAATGTGCACCCCCCCAGATGAGAGAGGTTCAGCGTCTGAGGTCCTGGCTGCTGACGTGGGGTGCTGACACTTACTTTCCTACCCAGCATCTCCTGCCTGGCCTTTGCACTTTCTCATCACAGCTGCTTCCTTGAACTGCACTGCAGAAAAGAGAACACCTCAGCCTGCCTATTTTAAATCAGTTCTCTTGCCACACTAAATGTGCAAAGGCAAGATCTCAAGCTGATACCAATCTTTGAAATGAAAGGTCTCTTAAACCCAACTGCCCCATCCCCAGAGTTTGCTCCCAAAGGGAGAACCTGCAAAAAGATGAAGGACTTTTTTGCACCTTTGCCTATGGGGTTGGCAGAGCCAGACCATTCTAGGCCTACCCATACTTCCCTGTGGGGGGCTGCAGGCAGCTGAGGACATCAGGAAAGCTTAATAAGTGATTCGGCTGTTGGAGAAAATTTTATAGCTTGTTGGACATCGACACAATTATTTTGAGTGAGAATGTGTTTTGACTCATTTGTGTAAATCACCATCTTTCAAGCTACTTTATGAGTAGCAGGAAGAGAGATTAGTCATGACCTGGAATCACTCTGGCATCGTCACAGTGTAATGGTAAAGTAGGGCCTGGGGATCTTCTCTCACAAATCCAACATGCACACACCGTCCGTCCAGTTGCTAAGACTTAAAACCCTATTATTTAAACCTTAGATTTTTGTGCCCATATTCCCTTTGTCAATTATTGACAGATTTTCCTGGGCTTGACCTATTAAGTAGCTTTTTTTGAAAGCTCATTTGTGTTTAATTGAAGCAGTTGAGTTTTGTGTCGTATTTGCTAAAGTTCTGATAAGCGCACGGCCTGAGGTCTAGGTAAGAGTTCATAAGTTTGTATCATTAATAGAAATGTCTTTCCACTTATAATTTGTGCAATACTCATGTAATGGTTAAGTTGTCAATAAAATATGTGCCTATCCATGATTATCAGTTGCCTTTTCTTTGAAAAAAGCAGTGCTGGAATAGTGGCACTTAAACCACTAGTCAGCGCTTGCTGTGATTTTTCCACGTCAGACCCTGCAAGTGCCAAAGTTAGTGTGTTCTCCATGCGGCCTCTGACACAGCTATTTCTGATAGCTCTTGGCTCGTGTTCTCATTCCTTTCCTTCATCCTCATCTTTCCATTTTACTGTAGGTCATCGGCCTCATCCAAGCCACTTCTTCCACCCTCCAAACATTTCTTCACTTAATTCTCACCTGTATCCCTGCCTGGACTGCACTCCAAGAAGGCATTTTCCCTTTTTTGTTGTTGGGTTATGAGCCACACCAGTGCTTGGGGCTATACTCTCAGCGTGGTGTCCTTGCTCTTAGCGAACAGAGACCAAGCATTGTTCAAGTGTAAAGTTCAGGGCTCACACACACACACACACACACACACACACACACACACACACACACCATCCGCCGTTTTCAGGCGAGTTTTTGAACACACCCTACCAGTCCTGAGAGCTTACCATTGACCAGAGACAGCCCCTGGTCTCAGAATCTCAAAATTGACAAGTCTCAGGTGGCATGGTCAGTAACCAAGTTAGAACTAAAGCCATTCCATCTGTCTCCAGTCCACTCCTAGTAAGGCTATGCTGCTTGCAACATCTCAGAAGATTAATGACATGAGCCAAGGCTAAAAAGACAAAGTACTTGAGAAAGAAGAAAAGGAAAGAACAAAGCTGAATAAATTTGGAAAGATGCATAGGAGTTTAGTGAATTTGGGAGGCACGGCAATGGGGGACAGGTGGCCCAGTTTGGGGAAGACCAGGGGCATTTGGACATCTGTCAGGCCAAAGCAACTGATTGTATTTTTAGGGGAGGCAGTCATTGGAACAAGCATGCAGAAGTATCCTTTGGAGCAGAAGAAGGCAGGATGGTAGGGAAACTATTAACGCCAAGTAATTCTTGAGAGGAGTTTGACTGTTGATCAGTCACACTTGAGGTCCTTGTACTACTCTGGGATTTGGAGCAGTGTTATTTTCACAATATTGAAAAGTTCTTTAATCCAAGAGTTCAGTCATGCTCTGGTGCTAAATAATGCTTATTTTGGGCAAAATGATCTATACAAGCATCACAGCTATATCCTGTCCATCTTGCGTGTCACCTCCTAAGCCCCACTACAAAGCTCAAGTGTCCTGCCTGGTTTCATTCTGTGGTAACCTCTGCCATGTGTAGACTGAGCTGATGGTTGGTCAGAGTGAGCAGGACACTAGTTAGTATACCTCCTGAACAGTGCAGGGTGTAAGGGTAGCTCTTAAGCAAGTATTTATATACATTGCTACAGAAAGTCTTCTGCCCTTTATCTCAGGACCTAGAAAAAATATACTTTTTTCTGGTTTTTATTTTTTTCATCAGAAATCACCCATGGTGGTGTCAATTACCCACGGTGATTGACATCAGATTGACATCTTCATCAGAAATCATCCACGGTGGTAATGCAAGACAAGTGCATTACCACCAAGTCACCTTCTGAGGCCCTGATACTTTTAGAGAAAAATGCGTAATGGGACTGGAAAACTCCCTGTAAGGGCATGTGTCCCTAAGATTTTTAGTATTATCTAGGTTTCATTACCATCAGATAAAACAGTTTTAAAAATAATATTTCCTCACACAAAGAAAGTATTGCTTCTCCTATCTTTGATGCCCAAGAAAGCAGGAAGTACCAAACCTCTTGTGTTTAGTTGCCTGGTCAGTCAGAATGAGCAGACCACAGATGTAGGGACCCTACCCTGCAAAGCTGACTACCTGTGTCACATTTACTTAGCAGACTTGGTCTGGGGATCACCCACAGAAAACAAAGGCTAACAGTATGAAAAGCAAGTGCTCTAAATCTCAGAAAAGACATCCATGATCCCATGCTCCTTGTATTGCCACCCACAGTATCCAAAATCTAGTAACAGCCCAAGACTCCAAAGGACAGATGACTGGATAAAGAAACTATGGTACTTATGCACAATGGAATACTACTGTAATTTGTGCATGGATCTGGAGAGTATCATGCTGAGTGAAATGAGTCAAAGGAGAGGGACAGACAGAATGATCTTTGTGGTATATAAAAAAAAATAGTAAAGGAACTGCAAATCCTTAAAAACAACAAACAGAACTGTTCTTTAATAGGCAGCATGTCACTGTAGGGGTTGGAAGGCGGATAAGACTGTGGGGGAGGGACACGGGGACACGGTGGGGGTGGAAGGAGGCTGGCATTATGAAGGGTGTGATACTAGAATGTTTTGTTATGGAACCCTGCCACTTTCAATATTGTAAACCACAGTGCTGAAAATGAAAAAATTTAGAAAGCAAGTAAGCCAGGACTATTTGGTATATATCACTCTCTTAGGATGTTTGTTTCATCTCCTCTAATGCTTGTACAATTGCTGTACCAAGTGAATCAGGGTGGGTGGGTCTGTTTTCAGAAGTTTGGAACTATGATGTCCGTTAGGTAAAATTCCAGCTTTCTGATTCACTGATGATTTAACCTGTTGCCTGAGGTTTCTGCATGCAAACTGCATCCATTTATCACTGAAGGCTGAGGTAACTGAAAGACCTTAAGACAATTCACTTTGTTTCTGATCTTGTTTGTTGTCTAGACCAAGCTGAAGCGACATATAGTGAATTTGTCAGAGAATCACAGAGCATGAACAGAATCTTGGTATTTTGTAGGATGACATTGCTTTGTCCTTTCTCCCTTTCACCATGAGGAACTCAGGTTTATCACAGTGCTCCTGAGGCACTTCCATTCCATTGTGTTCATCTGTAAATTCTTCCCTATGCTCTCCTCCCCAACCAGTTAATTAGCTTTTCCCCTAATCAGACCCTGTCAACTTGTAGGTTAGGTTCCTCAGAAATCTACGATTTTAGATGTATGATGTAATATTGCCTTTCTCCTCTCCTTATGTCTTTTGAATAGTTTACAGCAATATCCTTTTTGTATAAATACAGGAAGACCATTAATATTATGCTTTGTATCTTAGGATTTAATTGGCTTTGAATATTATTCACTCCCAGGCATCTGCTTTCTCAACTTAAGCCTCAGTTGCCCTTAGTTCCTAACACACCAAAAGCAGGGTCCCGATGAGAGACTGAATGGACCCAGGGCAAGCGGTGAGCTACCCTGGCATTGAAATGGGCCAGGCCAAAGTGCCACGATTCTTAACTATAAGTTAAGAGCTAGATCATAGACAAATACTCTCCTCCCCATGATCCAAAAGTAATGATGAGAGTAGGACCCTGCTAGGGGTAGGAAAGACTACCTACCTGCCTGAGCACTGTAGTCTGAGATCGAGATGGCCCTAGGCGGGCAATTCTATAAGTTTATTTCTTACTGTATCTATACAAAATGATTTATATTATGAATGCTTATACGTTTGTTAGACAAAGAGAGGAGAAACACATCCAGGGGATTCCGCTCTAGGGTGGGTCGTCTTGCTGAGAGAGTATCTGTCCTAGAAGTGGCTTTCCCCGAGGGAAAGAATTCTACCCCTATTGATTGTGACCACACCTATGTGTAATTGTTACCCCAACCCCTCATGCTCTGGGATTTAACTAAACTGTAAGAGTGGACTGAGAGATCAGGATCAGAATCAAGACTCCAGAGAAGGAGGATGAAGGGGGATTGAGAAGGAGAATGTAGTAGCATGGGGGAGGAAGAAGCAGGAGGAGAATCAGAGGAGAGTGGAGATGGGATTGGAATAAACTGCAACTAAGACCAACCAGCCTGGTCCTCATTCCTTCCCTTGCCTGCCCATTGCCATCAACCTCCCCGACGTGGGGGAAGCGGCCCGAGACTACCGAATGCTGGTGGCGGGAGAGACAGAGCCTCTGCCGCTGCTGTGCCCTTTTTTGAGTTTACACAGTAATTGAGTTTGGAAACCATAAACTTGGGCTTTTCCATGAGGAGCCCCGGCAGTCATACCCCACACCTCCATGAAGTCTTCCTACTGAAATTGAGTTTTCTGTTGGTGCCTTTGTGTATCTCAGGGTTTGAGACTCACCTCAGGGACTCCACCACAATCCTCCCAAACTCAGCCTGCCTCAGTCACTTACTGTTCCTCTTTTCTTCTGGCAAACCCAGTGAGTTCTATTCTAGAAAAATATTGAGTCATTTCCAGTGATGGCTAATATATGACTCCGAGCAAACACCACAGCTAGAAATGTGTATCACAGCCCAGCCTATGTGTGAACACTGTTATCACAAGAACTTTGACAACAGCAGCCAAGAGATGGGGAAGGGGAGAATAAAATAAGATAAATGTAAAACCAAAAAAAAAAAAAAACTTGGAGAAGGGGCACTTTCAGGCAAGGGCTGGACTAAAGATTGGCTTCAAGGTGAGCCATTCAGCCCCTGATCCACTGATACCCAGATTATCTGTGCATACGTGGGGCACACGGGGCTGTTTTCTTTTTTCTTTTTATAATTTTATTAGTGAAACGCCATGAGGTACAGTTGTAGACTTACAAATTTTTGTGCTTGGGTTTCAGTTATACAGTGATTGAGTACCCATCCCTCCAGCAGTGCCCATTCACCACCAGTGATCCCAGTATACCTCCCACCCCCCCCACCCCCCCATCCAACCCCATCTCTGTGGCAGGGCATTCCCTTTTGTTCTCTCTCTTTCCTTTCGGGTGCTGTGGTTTGCAAAAGAGGTGTTGAGTGACAGTCATGTTCAGTCTACAGTCTACTTTCAGCATGCATCTCCCATCCTGGGAGGATCCTCCCAATACCCTGTATTTGGTGCTCCCTTCTCTATCTGAGCTGCCTTTTCCCCTAGCATGTGCGGCCTCCAAGCCATGGAGTAAACCTCCTGGTACTTATCTCAGCTATTCTTGGGTATTAGTCTCCTATTTTTTTTACTTTATATTCCCCATATGAATGCAATCTTTCTATGTCTGTCCCTCTCTTTCTGACTCATTTCATTTAGCATGATACCTTCTA